TTTAAACCCAACATATAATTTTTCAAAAATTCATAAATATGCTAATGTATTTCTTAGAATAATCGCGGTGGTATGTTTTAGCACAGCTGAAAGGTCAAATAATAGTTATTTTCGGGAGATCAAGCGAATTCAAAAGGTAATGATCTAATAAATCTAGTAATATACCTAAGCAGACATATGTATGTAATTCGATAGGATCAGGAATAGAAAAATATGTATCTGTAACAAAAAAATTTATTTTCGTCTTTATGTTTGAACTTTTTTTGTTAATCTAACCGAGGATTGAAATTTACCCCAAAGCCGCATTAAATCATCAAATTGAAGCTCCTTTGCTAATAAAAATTGCAACCACGATGATGCCCATTCATTAATATTTACTTCTTCTTCTTCAAAATAATTACATCTGAAATATATATATATATATATTAAGTTATTTTTTCGTTCAAAAAATGATTTTAATAAAATTCGTAACAATAACATACAAGTCAGGAATGACTGCTCTAAATAATGTCATAAAATTTGCGACACGCTCGTTTATGTTATAAGTAGAATTATACTCGTCTAATAAATAAAAATAAAAAATGTTTGAACAAAATCCAGTAAATAATGATAACATAGATAAAAACGTAATGACTGAACAAACCTAATATAGCCATAAGTCGAGTGAAACAATAATACACATCTGGTTCATTTTTTATGCAATATACGAACGGACCACATAGGTAAATAAAAGTTGGTTGATAATCAACATCACGATTACGATTCATATAAGCACCGATGACATTTTCAAAGATAATTGCATCTTGTTGATTTAAAGTGCCGCAGGCGTTTTTTATTTTATTTTGATATCGGCCAACTTCGCCACGGACTCGTTTAATTATATCAGCTTTTTCTTTTTCTATATTGTTATATTCATCATATTTGGCCTTTTGGCTAGTCAACTCTTGTGCTGAAATAAAAAAAAAAAAAAAAAAAAAGGTAAGAAAAAACTTTGTGAATATACAGAATAAATAATATTCGAATAATATTCGAACATAATCACATACATCTATCAGCCGGATTGACTCCAAGTAAGTACTTCCATACTTCCTTTAGAGGAAAAATAAAGATATAGATAGAAATTACTTTATAAGAAGAAAAATCAAGATAAATGTTTAACTGAGAACAATTTGATAATTAAAAATTGATAATGCAAAAAGATCATCTGATAAGAATTTACCCCTCGAACTTTCATGGGAACACCGTGTCTAGACAGTTCTCGCAGCTTATCAAGGTCGATATAAACTTCAGCATTTAAGATATCTTCAAACTCAGTGATTAACGTTGACATCTCCAGGGTTCTTTGATCGATCCTACGATTTATTGGGTAACGCATAAAGATAGCGTTAAATGGATAAAGCTGCAGTAGGAAAAAGTATGTTTTATGAACGAAAGTGCAACAATGAAAAAGAGGACGACGAAAATATAATTAGAGGATGTGCAATGAAATTATATACAAGGGACCGAAATAAGGTCTTAATCTATTCAGTTTCAATACATGATTCTAATAAAGGTATGAATTTGATAATATATAGTTTATTAATGTAAAATGATGAGAATAGACCTCTGAAGGAATGAATATATAGAAGGGTTGACGGTGTTAGAAGGCGAAAAAAAAGAAGGTCAGAGTTTATTAGAATATTTATTCTAGGACTATTGAGAAACAGGAGATAGCAGAGAGGGATTTATACTGCAAGTTTCAACTAGTTACTGCATTAATATGATGATTTTTGGCTAGTACATCTATATCTTATCACAATCTTATCATGCCAATTGGTATTTCTGAACGATCTGTCATTTTTGATGTCGATTTGGATTGTCATCGTTATGATAAGTATCGGCCTTACCAAAAAACGACTTCCCTTTAAGTATTCCATGTGTGATTCAGAATTATTAAGATTTTATCATCCGGTTTTGATTGTATCGTGCATTACTGCGATAGTTGTGACTGTTTACAGCTTTAGGCTGATCAGTTACTCCAAATTGCCGTGTCACTTAATTGTCATATATT